AATAAACAATACCTGTACAGCAACAATTAAATTATTAATAAATAGTAAATATATAATCACGACTTACGTCCTTATCCGTAAGATTATGTACAACATTAATAAAATTTTCGATTTTTGGAATTTTTTGTGGATTTCCTTTTGTTATTTCATCTTCATCACTGCTAGATGATGAAGAAGATAGCAAATCTAGCAATTGAAGAGCATTAAAAATATCGCGCGCTGCCATCTTGCACTCAACCGACACCGTCTCTTATAAGTCATTTTCGTGTTGCAAGAGCAACAACTTATAAAATAATTGATATTTACGCAATTTCACAATTCTATCCGTCTAATAGAACTCACGGAGGTAGTAAATCTACCTCTGCTGAATTGGACATATTATCATTTTTGACACATTATCAATTTATTGAATAAATCTATTTCACTTGATTGAAGTTTTGATGACAGCATGTCATTATTGACTTTAAAGCAAATGTTTAATTCCTCTGATTGTTCCATCATTTTTCGTAAATCCAGAAATATTGCACTTTTTGGCACTTGACACATGTAGTTTATTGTTTAGCTGGGAGTGCAAGAAACTCGCACTTTCGGTAACCTCGTACAGTGCTGCTGCTACTGAACAAGTTTTCGGTGCGCACTCAGTGCGGCTCAGTGAAAAACGCTATTAGTGTTCACCAGTTTTTTATTAGTGTTCACCAGAGCAGTGTAGTGCAGTGTAGTGCGAGTGATCAAATTCGTTATAAGTGTATTAAGTGAAATAAGTGTATATGTATATAGATTAGTGCTCGGAATTAGTTGCGTGATAAGAAGAGGAAAGGAAGCGTATACTGCGGAAATCGGCTGAAATTTTCAATTAATTCCGAGCACTAATATAGGTTATAAGTGTTGTGTTTTAATTTTACCATACATTCTGTCAAAAAGCTTTAATGTATGATTTGTCTAAAATAAATAAAATTAAATATCTCAAAGTTTGATATTTCAATTCTACGTATCCTAAATTAGTTCCAACAGTATTTATAATTTCCAGTCAATTTTATATATAAAAAAATATAGCATAAGTCAATTTTTGTAATTGTCCTAAATTAGTTCCAATATTTATAATTTCCAGTCAATTTTATATCGTAGAAAATAGGAAACAAAAATTATAAACATAAACTCGACAAGAAATCTTGTAATACACAAAATTAAAATTGACTAGAAATTATAAATATTGTTGGAACTAATTTAGGATACATAGAACAGAAATATTAAACTTTGTTATTTAATTTTATTTATTTTAGACAAATTATACTAAAGTTCTGAAACGTGTGTTTTTTTGACAGATCCTAAATTAGTTTCAACATTTATAATTTCCAGTCAATTTTATCACAATCAAAACAAAACAGTATTGTTTTACCTTTCAAAAAATTGTTGTATATATTAAATCAAAAAAAGTTATCGTATATATATTACAAAAAAAAAATATCTATCAAAAAATTACCTTTTTTAAAAAAAGGTTAAAAAAAGGCACCAAATACACGCTCTTGTCACAACTAAAACAAAATTGTATTGTTTTACCTTTCAAAAAAATTGTATATATTAAACCTTTCAAAAAAACTTGGCATATATATTAAAACCTTTCAAGAAAACTTGTCGTATATATTAAAATTTTCAAAAAAGCTATTATATATACTTTCTACAAAAAATATATCAAGAAATGGCACTAAATGGGACTAAAGAACTATGAAAAAAGTTGTACACTATTTCTATAAAACGCTTCTATAAAACTCTTGTACATAAAGCTGTCGTATATATTAAAAAAGATATCTTTCAAAAAAAGCTGTCGTATACAGGGTGATTCAAAATAAACGTATGTCCTTAAAGGGACATATTCCTGAACGTATTCTGAGACAACTTTTCCTTTGGCAAAAGTTGTGTGGAGCTTAATTTTCAAATTATAAAAGAAAATAGAATCTTTCTACTTTCCCATCCAAAATTCCACAAAAAAAATTTTACATTGGCTATTAACATCTTTTTAAATAATTGTTATCCGTTAAGTTTTATTTATTCTGTTATTTACCAAAGATTAAAGTTCTTAATACACAATAAAAAAATTGACAATATTTTAATAGCAGTAGATTTTGACAATGATTCTAATGATAAGAACTCGAAGTCTTTCTTAACTATTCCCTACATCTCATCCATTTTTAAAGACTTTAATTCTATTGCGAAAACTTTTAATTTTAAACTAGCCTGCTCAATTCCTTATAACCTAAAATGCTTTATAAAAACAGGGAAAGATAATTTAAACAAATTTTCACACTGCCAAGTGGTTTATATGATTCCGTGTCGGGACTGTAATATGACTTATGCTGGACAGACAAAAAGACAGCTTAACACTAGACTAAAAGAACATAAGAATGTCATCAATAAAAAAAGCTGTTCTCCTTCAGTCATATCTAAGTATAGGTTAGATTTCTCCCACGATTTTGATTGAGACAAAAAAAAGATACTTGACGGTGAACCTTCCTATCCAAAAAGATTAATCTCTGAAATGGTTTTTATTAAAAGGCAAAACGCAGGCCTAAACAATCATAACGACATGGATCATTTACCTGAGGCATACCTCCCCATTATTAATTTATTTCCTCCTTTATAAAAATACTTCTCCTTCCCTTTTCTTCTATCTATCCTATTATACCCCCACCTTCTCTCCTTCCTTACTTTTTTTCCCCCTCCACTCCCCCCTCCTTCTATACCTTCACTCGTGAATCTTATAATTTCTGGGCTATATCTCTTTCACTAAGAGTTTGACTTGTAAAATAATAAGAGATAAAATATCTGTTCTCTTTTTCCACCTCGTCCTCTCTACGTGGACTAGCGCTTCAACATGAATTGTAATTCAAGTATGTATATCATAGTTTACAATCTCCGGTCCAATTATTTCTTATTTTAATTTGTATTACTCATATATTTCATTGCATTTATTGTAGTTTTGACTTTTTTCTACCAAACTACAATCGGGTGGAAAGGAAGATTTTTATGTCTTCCACATCGTTCACACTATCTTGAATCTTGCGAGGAATTTTTCCGTTTTATTTGTATTTTTACTAATGTACACTGAAGAAGGCCTGATGGCAGATCGAAACGTTTGATTGATGTAAACAATTTTATCGAATATATCTTAACCTTCGCACGATCAACTAGCATTATGGCTCTTTACGCTTCTATTGATTTTAATTGATTTTAGTAATCAGCTGAGCCTTATATACTTTTAATTTTAAAAGAAAATAGTAAGCGTATCGTGAGTTGAGTACAAGAAACAAGCAGGGGTGC